CTCTGTACGAGAGTTTTGTGTCGTCGAGAGATCCCGAGTCAGTGGCCAGAGAGGAGACGTTCCGCGAGAAGCGAAGGGACGGCAAAGCGAATTACGTGAATAGAGATACCCCACAGACCGGTAACACTATTTATGTCCACGGATTCGGTGTCAATGAACCCATTCTGAGGACTGGTTTCTCCATTTTTGGCAATATTCTCAACATTACGTCCGAAACGGACAAAAAGTTAGTCAATTGTAATAATGGATATGCAATTGTATACTAATTAATCAATTGTTTGGTGTATTTTAGTTGCGGTTTCGTAACATTTGACTCAATCGAAAGCGCCAACAAAGCGATTGATGAGATGAACCAGAAGTCAGTGAATGGCATCAAACTGAAGGTAATGCTCGCCCGAAGGCAACCGGTGGTCGTCGACAAGAGTAAAGCCGAAACAAGCGGTGATTCGGTTCCGCATTCCTCCGCACCCGATGTCTGGTCTTCAATCGCCGCCAGTTATTCACAGAAGAGTGCCGTTAAAGACAAACGAAATCTTATTAGTTATGAAGAGACCGATATATTCGCGTCCATGTGATCGCCATTTCAATGATATTTATGTTTGAAATCATTTCATTTGCATTATTTATACAATTTATGTAATTTTTATATAAATAAATAATTAAAACAAATTAAAACTTACAATTTTTGTTAATTATTGTTCAAATCATTGTCTAAGACTTAGCTAATTATCATCATATCTACCATTAATATAAAATGAGAGTTTAAATTTCATATCATAAAATTTTAAAATCATTAATTTGATAAATAAATAGATTAATATGATTAATTTTATATTGGCTACAAAATCTAATGATTATTAGTACCGGTAATAATTTATGATGGCATAATAAATGAAATGTTGATTGTTATTCAATATACTATTACCTTATATTGTAACGTAAGTAATCATAAACTTTGTATTAATGTTATATTTTATATTCTGAGAATAAAGTGATAAGAAAATGATTTATATCATTGTATTTCACATCATATTAATATTTGCTCCGAATTTTCAATATTATATTTGACCATAAATTGTGACTTGTCTTCAATTTTTGCAAACAAATTATAATTCATTTCATAAAAACAACGTAAACTTGTATATAATTAATTCAAACATAATTTAATAGGAAATATTATTGCATATATTTAAAACGTTATGTTAATTTTATGTAAGTTTTTACAAAACTTATTATAATTATTCCTCATTTTAATATTCATTTCGTAATAATTTTTTATGACTTTTTAGTAATATTTTGTTATTTATTAATCGCAATCGAGTCGACAGTTTGCCCGGAAAAGCAAATAGTGTTTCCCTGTGTTTGCCATCAAAACGCAAAAGAAACGCTTCCAGACATCACTTGCAGCCGAAGTGATGTCAATGTATCTCAAGTGTTGACAAATATCCGACTTAACAGCGGCACAGATAATGAGCTGCAATTCGGTCGACTCTTTTGGACTAATGGCCAGTCAATCAACGTTACGAACAACTTCTTCGCCGGCGTCTCCTTTGAGAAGCTATATCTGGGAACCAAAAGAAAGTACGCAAACATATTGCACATCAGTTCCGGCGCTTTCAACGGAATCGCTCACAGAATTAAATCAATTGTCATTAGATCTCAGGATCTGATGGATGAGCGCAACCTCTTTGACGCGTTAAGACGGCTCACAAATGTCGAGTATATCGGCGTTGAGGGCATTGGTCTGCAGACTATACCGGAAAACGCGTTCAAAACGGTAGACAATTGCCATCCGTTGACTGATTGCGATTAATAAATAACAAAATATTACTAAAAAGT